TTGTGTTATTCATTTGGTTTCAATGCTTATATATATAGGTTAGTTGGTAAATGTGACATATAATCATCTGAAAAGATAATGGATTGTATTATTATTAATTATAGAATTTTGAACAGTATAACACATAACGCAAAAAATTGGTCTACATGATGTCGATTAATGTTCAAAATCGTATTGTTTTTTTATCTGAAGGTTTAGTGGCGTCTCGGTACGAATTTATAACTTATAAGTTGATTCAAATTAGTTCGTTGTTTTTTTATCAAACAATTATCAATATATATATTTATTACTGAAGAGACTGGTAAGGGTCTTCTACAACTACACACATTATTTCAAGCAAAATGATGATACCCCTATTGTTTTGGTAACCCATTCTTTTGGAAAAAATTCAAGACTTAATTTATTGATTAACAGCCAAAACATACTTTAATAGAAATAAATTCCATTAACTTATATACAATGAGATTTTTCAGAAAAAAAAGAATATGTTATTATTCTTAATAGAAATATATTGATGTTATTTTAACCATGGTAAGCTTACATTGTGGGTTGTAATATTTTTAAGTATTCTTTGTAGATATTATATTTAATTAGTTACTGTCAAACTATGTAATGATGTGTCTTTCCAATGTTAAAAATTAATTGGGTCAAAAAATAAAAATTTAAAGGTGCCTTTTAAAAAAATTAAGAGTTGTGTTTATTCGTTTGGTTGTGTTTGTTTCGTTTTAAGAGTTACATTAAAAAGTTTTCAAATTAAATATATATTTTTAATTAGTTTTTTTTTCATTTTAAAATTTTGATTAGTTTTTTTAAAATGTCTAGGGGTACATCCATAATGATGTGTTTTCCTAATAAATTTCATCTTTTCATAAAAAAAAAATACTTTTCATTCTAGAAATGTAATGATTTATAATAGTTAAAATGTGTAAATATATACTTTATCTTCGTTGCTCAAAAAAATTTACGTTATCATCATAAAATGTAAATTTCAAACTAAAGTGCTGAAAAAAATTCTTAGAGATTATGAAAATGTGTAAAAAATGTATTTTATTATTCTGATAATATGTTTTTACGTTATAGGAATCCCAACATATGAGAAATGTTGTGTATTTTATTTTAAATATTCCATCAGTTTAAAAAATAAAAAATTCCATAAAAATATCCCAACTAAATTTTGTTAAAAAATTTAATACCCAAACCTTTTTATTATCTAGTTTAATACCTCAACTAATTATATTGCCCATTTTAATACACAAACCTTTATAACTGTACTCATTTTAATATCTAAACTTTGTTTATTTTAGTTAACATACTAATAAGTTTCAAACGAAATTTTTAAAAAATCTCTAAAATCTGAGAAAAATATTTAAAATTTCTAATTTTACTTGAAGATTTAAGAAAAAGGTAAATAAACTCTGGAATGAATTAAAAGTTTTTAAAATTATCTTGATGGAAAAAAAATAATTTTTTTTTATTTCAGAACACAAAATAAACTCAATATTGAAAACTTAAAAAATTTATTACAAAATTTAAGATTAGAAAAATTTATTTATTTTTATTTCTAATTAAAACACAAAATAAACATAATTTTTTTTTTAAAGTTGAGCCAAAGTAATTATTTGGGATATTAAACTGGTTAGCGAAAAAAATTGGGTACTAAAAAGCTTAGCGGAATGTAGTTGTGATATTTTTATAAAATTTTTCCTTAAAAAATTGTCTAGGGATACATCTTTTTATAATGATGTGTATTTTCATCAGTAAAATAAAACTTTCATAAGGAAATGTTTTTGGTCCTAAAAATTAAATGATCTACAATAGGTTGTAAGGATGTGTAAATATATATTATCATCATAAGAATATATATCTTTCATGCTAAAAAGTAAAATTATAAGAGATATGAAAATGTGTAAAGATGTTTCTTATCATTCTAAGAATATCTTTATTTTATTTTATGTTTTTTCATGTTAAATATTTCATTAGTCTTAAAAATATATCTAGAGGTGCATCATAAAAAAAGCATCTTCTCATAATATTGTTTTTCTTCATCCTAATGTTTTATCCTCATAAAAAAATGGTTTTTAAAAAATTTGGGAAATGTGTAAATGTATTACTTATCATTTAACTGAACTATTGAAATTGTTATTATGAACAGTTGCAACTGGATAAATGAACATTTTATTTTTTTATGATGAATAATGGTAATTTTTCATGATGAGTCATTGCAATAGGGATGATGAATCATTATACCTTTTTGGTGATTTTATCATTCTGATGAACCATTGCAATTTACAATGTTAACTATTGCAACCAATAGCTAATCCTTGCAATATTTGGGTCAACCATTGCACTTCTTGGTCATCTATATAAAGAGTTCAAGGTTATGACAAATCACAATATTAATAATCACAAATAGACTAAAAAGAGAGAGAGATGTGCAATTCAAAAATCATCAAAGATATACATATAAACATGAAAAATTGAATTAATGTTTGATATGTCATTAAAATTTGTAAGAATTGTGTTTCCATTTTTAAAATTACATAGATTCTTAAGAAATTTCTTTCATTCATTTTTATATCTAATTTGATAAACATTTTAAAGAACCTTATAAGATTATCTAAAAATATTTTGGTGGTTTTATTTATAGGGTAATTTTTTGTTTAAATCTTTTAAAAATTAAGTATATCAATAGTTATGTTTCTTAGGTTCATACTATTTTCTCGGTCGGTTAAAGCTAAAATTTCAATTAAATTTTAAAATAATTGATGTAAACAACTTTTTATCGAATTGCATTTATTTGTTATCAAGTGGTAATCACAATACAAAATAAATTGAGTATGTATATCTTCAAGTACTGACTCTTACTTTTAGAGACAAAACATTGACTAATTTTGATAATTTTTATTCTCTTACACAAAGTAGGTATGACAAAATTATTCTCTCATTTCTTTCCTATATGATTTTTAATAATAAAATTATTCAATTTTTTTAAAAGTGTATCTTTTCATCTTCAAAATTGCATAATTTTAGTGGATTTTATTTTTGTTATTTTCTTATCTTTATATTATACCAAAAAACTTTTCACAAATTAAGTTTAATAAAAAAATATGATTAACATTACCGTACCAACACAACTCTACATTTGAAATGTGACAATTAATAATTAAATTTTACAAAAATATATTTTTATCTTTAAAATTGTATAGTTTTTATAGGTTTTAAAAAATGGTAAGAATGTAGCTTTTCGTAATGATGTATTTTTCCATCCTAAAATTTATGTAGGTTTTTAAATGGTTGTCAAAATGTGTAGTAATATATTTTTGCATCCAAAACCTTCTTATGTTTATAAATAGTTGTGTTTTAAAAATAAAACTCTTATATATATATATATATTCTAATAAATATTCTAAATTATGTAAAAGTATTATGATAATTCAGTTTATTGGACAATACTTTTATAATATATCTATATATTTTGGTTTATTTATAAAACTTAATATATAATTTTTAATAAGATTTAAGGTTTATAATATTGTTTTTTGGTGCAGCGATTATTTGGTCTAAGTTGGTTGCATTTATTCGTAATTTCAAAATAACTTACCTAAACTAATAATAAGAGATATATATCATAATTGGTATTGATGTATTTTTATTCTAATTAAAATTTAAACTTATAAGTAAACATAAATTCTTAGTAGTATCTGTAAATGAATATAGACACATGCAATTTACAATATGATACATAAATTTTTGGAAAATAATTGTAAAGCAATTCATATAAAAATATAAGGTTTAAATGTAAAATATTTTTTTTTTGTTTTTAATAATGTATTTGTAAACTCTAAAAATCTAACTATGATGGTTTTGTAACATATGTATTTTCTCAAAACAATTATATGATATGTAGTATATATTTTTTTCCAAAAATGAGTTTCCGTGCGATATCGCATGTGTTCCTTATCTGGTTGCAATAACAAAATGTGAGCTTAATACGAGAACAACAAATAACAAAAAAAAACTGAAAATGAAGAAAGAGGAATAAAAAGTCCGGTTACATAAAACACTAGCAACAACATTTAACAATTAAACAAGAATATGAAAAAATAAGAGAAAGTAAATGGAAAATCATGACCAGATAAAAATGGATTATACTAGAAATTTTGAGAATAAAAAAAATTGCACAGTTACGTCTCAGTAAAATTACTAAAATTTCAAAACATGAACAAAATAGGAATGATTTAATGAAGTAAGAATAGAAATTCCTATTTTAAAAACAGGTCTGAAAAATGCAAAATAAAAACAATACATTTTTAAGGTTGCAAATATAATTTTTAGTAAACCTTTTTAATACATTACATATGTTAAAATGATGAAAGAAATAAACAAATTAACAATAATACTATAAATATAAAAATAACCAAATAAAAATGAACTAAATATAAAGTAAATTTTATTAATATGTTAAATTATATAATCATCATATATAAAAATGTAGACAATATATAACATGGGAAAACAAAATATTATGTAAATGATCAGATTAAGACTTAAAAGGTTATGTCAGTCCCTATTAAAAAGGCTAAAACATAACAAAAATATTAACACACAAAGTTACAACAACATAAACATAGATAATTTAATAACAACAAAAAAAAAAAAAAAATCCTCGCGAAACATGGAAAACCCCTGCTATACTATAGAATCAGAGACTTTGTGTTGCATTTGCATCATAAGTCTTCTCTAGAACATTCACAGTTCAACTCAGTCGCATAAGTTACATTCATTACTGAGTACTTCGATTCGCTATCATTTGAATTGCTTGTCCGTTTGGATTCACGACTTTATAAATGCTGACTTCAAATTAATACCTAACATTCATTGACCTCTCTGTGAATAGCAGTGCTGTAGTTTGGCTATAAACATTAGTAGACTCGCCTTTTTTTAGTTTCTATCTTGGTATGGTGGGTAATATGATTGACTGACACATCTATATTTGGTGGATGTGTCTCAGATTTGGCAACAGGATCATAAACAAGAGGACTTCATGTTCGTGTGGTGTGGAGCACGTGCAGCAGTCTAGGTGTGCAGAGGAGTTCAAGCTGAGGAAGAAGAAGAACGATGAGCTCAAAACCGCAGCCAAAGACAGAGGCGAGACTATGAGCACCAAGAGACAGCCTAAAGGACCCAAACCAGGATTCATGGTTGACCTTGGAGACTGTAACCCCAATCCTTTACGACGTTGTCAACGATCTCAAGGGAGGCAACTAGTGTTCTACTTTCTTACCCCCAGTGTTTTGGAGCTTTCAAACCAAAATCTGATTTTAAATGACAGATGTTTTGTTGTTTTTGATAAGTTTTGTGTCTACCAGTTTTAAATTGTGTCTCTTCCAACCAATTAGTTTAGATCAATCATGGAGTTTTAATTAGAAGCAATGTGACGCAGCCATTGTGGTGGGATCGTTGAGGTGGGGGCTACGTGGCGTTCACGTAGCGTCTCAGCAACACACTCTCCTCGTTAACTTGTGTTTCAACAATGCATTCAAAAGAGTAAGTGTAGTAGTATATACATGTATTTCTGTTACAAGTCCCCTTTGTCATTGTTGTCTAGAGACAGATAGTAACCAGCTGCTCCTTGAATCTTTTGGTTAAGGAATCTGTTTTTTGCTCTTTGAATTTCCCAAAATAGATTACAGAAAAAAAAAAAGAAAAAAAAACTTCATTTCATCCGTTACTTGCCTAAATATTCTCATTCACTATTTTAGGAATCTCACTCATATTCTCTTCCTCTACTGACCAAAGTCTCCCCTTTGATTTCAAATCCTTATTTCAAAACATACACTGAGAACCCAGAACACATATCTTTTGATCCACATTTCCAAATCAGTCTTTTGCTCATCTCACATTTTCCGATCTACAAAACCTCAAAGTACGATCTTTGTATAAAAAATCCAAAAAAGCTCGAATCTTTGCTTTGTTTGGTGGTTTCAGTGAATCACACAGTTTCCTGATTCCTATCAGGAAGCTGTGGAAAAGTCATGGGATGCAATTGCTCCAAAGGAACACGACCAGATGATATTATCGACGAGAAGAAGGAGAGAAAGAGCAAAGCTATTGATAATACCTCAAACAAGAAGAAGAAGAAGAAGAAAAAGTCTGCTTCTTTGAGCAAAACCAATGTAGTATCCGAGGAAAGAGCTAGCTTTATCACTACCACCAACATCAACGAATCCACAATCTTATCATCTGATGATGCTGAGAAGAAGTTGAGAAGAATGTGAATCTCATGAGAAAATCTTCAAGATCTGTGACCAGTAATGTAGGAGCATTGCAGATAAGCAGTGTTAGAGATGGAGAAAGAGGAGCTCAAGTTGTGGCTGGTTGGCCTTCTTGGCTAGCTTCCGTTGCTGGTGAAGCCATCAATGGTTGGATTCCACGCAAGGCTGATTCCTTTGAGAGGATGGAAAAGGTGAGAGAGGGTCTTTTTGTATATGTTGAAAATCATCTTTTTGATTGATATTATTTGTTTACTTTATTTAGATTGGACAAGGAACGTATAGTAGTGTGTATAAAGCTAGAGACTTAGAGACGAACAAGATAGTTGCATTGAAGAAAGTGAGGTTTGCTAGTAAGGATCCTGAGAGTGTTAGGTTCATGGCAAGAGAGATTATTATTCTTAGAAGGCTTGACCATCCTAATGTTATGAAGCTTGAGGGTTTGATCACTTCAAGGGTATCAGGGAGTATGTACCTTATCTTTGAATATATGGAACATGATCTCTCAGGTCTTGCTTCAACCCCTGGTGTTAACTTCTCTGAGGCACAGGTGAATATATGCAATTGGGGTTACTGTTATTGTGATTGTTTCTCATGTAAAATGTTGTGCTTTGGTTCCAGATTAAATGCTATATGAAACAGTTGCTACATGGTCTAGAACATTGTCATAGCCGAGGTGTATTGCATCGTGACATCAAAGGCTCTAATCTGCTGCTTGACCATAACAACAATCTCAAAATTGGAGATTTTGGTCTTGCCAACTTTTACGGAGAGCACCAGAAGAAGCAGCCTCTCACTAGCCGTGTTGTAACTTTGTGGTACCGTCCACCTGAGCTCCTACTTGGTTCAACGGACTATGGCGTTACAGTGGATTTGTGGAGCACAGGATGTATTTTAGCTGAACTCTTTAATGGGAAGCCTATCATGCCTGGGAGAACTGAGGTGGAACAACTACACAAGATCTTCAAACTATGTGGATCACCTTCTGAAGAGTATTGGAAGAGAACGAAACTTTCACACGCCACCGTGTTTAAACCTCAGAATCCTTATAAGAGGTGTGTAGCCGAGACGTTTAAGAGTCTTCCTTCTTCAGCTTTGGCACTAGTGGAAGTTCTTCTAGCTGTTGAACCAGATGCCCGTGGAACCACAGCTCATGCCCTTCAAAGCGAGGTAAAAAGATTTGAAACACAGTAGATCATTGACGTTCTAGATCTTTCTTGTCTCACACTTTTGTTCTTTTTCAAGTTCTTTACAACAAAGCCTTTTGCAAGTGACACATCAAGTTTACCGAAGTATCCATTTAAAAAGGAAACTGATGTGAAGCTTCGAGAGGAGGAAGCAAGACGGTAAGAGCCAGATTCTACTAGTATCATAGTGTATAACATAAAAAAAAATAGCTCGTCTTTTCCTTAATGGTCATTGAGGCATCCCAATTTGTTCTTATCCACCAGAAAGAAAGAAACAAGCAGTAAGCAGAATGAGTCTAAACAAGTATCTAGAGAATCCAAAGCTGTGCCGGCTCCAGATGCCAATGCTGAGTTACTAACATCAATACAAGTACGTTTGATTAGAGCATAGCTGATATGTTTATAGTCGTGTAATCTTAACTTTTGGTTTATTTTCTTGTTCTTAAAAGAAACGTCAAGGGCAGCATAACAAGACAAGCATGAGTGAAAAGTTCAATCCTAATGAAGATGCAGCTGGCTTCCTCATCGAACCGCTGAAGAGTGGAACCGGACAAAACGGTTACACACGCTATGGTGTGTCCTCAGGTTCGAGTCGGTCCCCTCATAGGAAAGAACTGAGAACACAAAGGTCTTTTGTACAACGAGGAGCAGCGCAGTTGACAAAATTCTCAAACTCTGTAGCTGCTAGAGATGCATCACATTTCGCTATAGCAAATCCACGGTGGCTTGAAGAAAGGTATAATAACAACAACAACGGAAGTCAAGATGATGGTGATTGGTCCCAACGTTTGCTGGTTAAACCCAAAGATTCTACAAAGGACAAAGAATCTATACTGGTAAGAATAACATCTTGAGACCATAACTGTGTTTTTGTTTTGCAGTGAAGCTCTTTCTGTGGGCTAATCACTTTTTGTTTGCCATGTTTAGGGTCATGGTGAAAAAACAGAGAAAATGAACTACTCAGGGCCATTAGTTTCTTCAAGAGGGAACTTAGATGAAATGTTGAAAGAACATGAAATACAGATTCAGTTAGCAGTTCGAAAAGCTCGAGCGGATAAGAAGACTAATAGGGACGATCATGGACAGACACAAGCGTTTCTTGCTGCAAACGGTAGGTGAGAGGTATCAGATAATCAAAGAGAAAGATAAGAAGAATCTTTTGGGGGTGATTAGAGTCAGTTTGTTTAATTTATTTATTCATCATTTTTTTATATTAATGTTCGTAGAGTTTGTTCGTAGAGTTTCCATCGTAAAAGTCATTATTGTAGGTTCAAAAAAAATAATGCATAAAATATTTAGTACACATAACTTTGTTGAGACGCCAGAGCAGTCTGGTGTCAAACGTTTGTGTATATTCATTCTATAGAGATTGAAAAGGACTGAACATACGTAAGTAGTAGTCTTAACTGCTAGTGGCTACTAACCACCAACAAACTTTGATGAATACAAGGCTTCTTCTCTCTTTGCGTCTTGTAGAACAAACTTGAAATTAGCTGCACTGTCTTTCTCAAGTACCCTTACCATTTTCCTTTCCCTTCATATCTAAGCATAAACTCAACTACTACTTTCATCTCAGTGGTAGCATATATCTTACAATAGTTTAGGATTCAAGTTGCAACTTCTCAAGAACCCAAGTCTCTTTAAAATTTGAATCAGACAAATGAGGACTAGAACTAATCAAAGCCACGAGCTCAAGCTTCTCCTTGTTTGTCTCCTTGCAGCCTTCATTCTCATCTTCATCGTTAGATCAACTCTCACAACTTCACAGAAACACCAGACTCAGGAAGAGACAAGATCAGGGGGTTGCGCTGGTGCCTGCAATAAGCTGCCACGTTCCCTGGCGCAAGCCCTGATCCATTACTCTACTTCAGTCATCACACCCCAACAAACGCTCAAGGAAATAGTGGTCAGCAGTAGAGTACTCGACAAGAAGTCACCCTGCAATTTCTTGGTGTTTGGTCTAGGCCATGACAGCCTCATGTGGAACACTCTCAACTACGGAGGCCGAACAGTATTCCTCGAAGAGGATGAGGCGTGGATAAAACAGATACAGAGGCGGTTTCCGATGCTGGAAACATACCATGTAACCTACGACAGTAAAGTCAACCAAGCAGAGAATCTAATAGAAGTTGGGAAAGGACCTGAATGCACAGCTATTGGAGATCCAAGGTACTCAATGTGTCAGCTAGCACTCAAGGGTCTGCCTGATGAAATCTATGAGACTAGTTGGGATCTAATCATGGTCGACGCACCCACTGGCTACTACGATGAGGCTCCTGGGAGGATGACGGCTATTTACACGGCGGGGATGATGGCAAGGAACAGAAAACGGGCAGGAGAGACGGATGTGTTTGTGCATGATGTTAATAGGGAAGTAGAAGACAAGTTCTCAAGGGCTTTCTTGTGTGAAGGGTACATGAAGAAACAAGAAGGGAGACTAAGGCACTTTATCATCCCTAGCTATATAAATGGTTCAGAATCAGTATCAAACAGACCCTTTTGTCCAACTCTGAACTCTTTATCTTCCTAATTGTTCATAACCAGTATTGAAGAGCCTAGATGATAACCTATAGCAAAAAACTAGTCTCTTTTATTATATCTGTGTTGGCTCTGCAAATCACCAAGCAGTACAGCAGGATGAATACGCAAAATGAAACAAGGAAGTGTAATTCATAAGAAAGAACAGATAGTCTTGCAGCCTTACTACACAATACCAGAAACACAGCAGAGTAGCCAAAACAGCTAACCACATATATATGACTCGTAAAAAATAACGAAACCCCTGCAAACTCCTAAGCCTTTCAACCTCTGCAGTTGAAAGCTTTTCCACGCTTTTCTTTTGATTTACCTTTTGATGCCAAAGGACATTCTTAGGCAGGAAGGTCGACAATAGTAAGTTTAATTGACGAGAAATAGATTGAATATCCATGGATGTTCTAATAGGAAACATATATGATGAAGATTTTTGTCATATTTAACTACCTTTTTTACCTGTTAACAAAGATGGCGGTTGGACTGCCTGGGGATGGAGGATTCTGCGTCAGGAGTGAAGCATATGGACCAGCTTTAGCAACATCATTAGGGTCACTTGCTGAATAGATTTCAACCTCTTCAAGACCAACTTGCCGCTTAATCAAGTCAATGTTACTCTGAAGAACTTCCATCTCTCCAAAAGGCAGCTTCAAATTTAGGGCCTGGCTTCCAATAGCTATTGCTTCGTCCTTCTTGAATTTAAGGAAAGGCATGCAAAGCTTCTGAATCTGCTTGAAGTTTTCTGCTTGTCCATCCTTCTGCAATATCTCCCTTAGTTCTGCAAGTATCTCTGCATCAGAGGCAAAACTATTGGTTTGTTGGTCGAATTTGCTTTGCAGAATCTGGAGGCAGTGAGCTCTCCACCCATCAAATTGCTCATTCACATATACAAGGCCTTTCAGATTCGAGTCTGCCACTGCTGTTACTTGAGTGCCTTTCTTAGCAGCCTTCTTGGAACCTAAGAGCTGTTTTTGTAGAAGCTTTCTCATTAAAACGATAGAATCTTGCAAATATTTGTTAGCACCCTTGAGAACCAGATCTGGCTCATTTGATGCTGGCCAGCCTGCTGTTACCACACAGCCTTCCTTCTTCAAAAGTTTCCTCCAGACATATTCCGCAAATTGAGGACAGATTGGTTCAATGAGGCGTGTTTGCACATCCATAAATGTCAGTATCAAGTCATGGTTCATGCCGCCAGTGCCACAAGAGAGTCTATACTCATCTCGAGCAGCTTGCAAGTCGTAAAACCCATTCTTGAGTGCCTCCCTGAACAAACAATCTTTGTAGGCTTTTTCAGTCAATCTGATAGCAATGTTCATGTCATTTTCAAACACTTTATCAGCATATGTAGATGGAGGGCCCGTTCTCAAAGAGGATTCAGCAGCCAGAACCTCTTCCATCCATGTGAGCTCTTTGGTCAGTCGCAAAATTGCAGCATTTGCAGTTTCAAATACAAAATTTGCATCGTCAACGCCATCACCAGCATCAGCCAAAGAAAATCTTGTAGCAGTGGCAGAGAATTCCTCAATAGCCTGTTTCAGTGTTCTGAAATTCCCAGTTGACTTTGACATTTTTTCAGAATTCAGCATAATGTGACCATTACATCTGATACCACGAGGCCAATTACGACTCGCCATTAGTGCAGTGTGGTTGTAGATGAAAAATGTCAAATGATTTTGGATTAGATCCTTTCCAGAAACTCGAAGATCTAGCGGGTACCAGTAGTCAAATTCCTGCTTCATTTTACTTAAAACATCAGCCGGCATGTCAGACGATTTTGGGTACTGACCATCGCAGAAGAGATACTCCCAAACATCATCATTCATCTGTTGAGGGCTAACCAAAGACTTGCTGCCTTTATACATGTCTCCTTCGTGAAAGATATGGGCAACTGTATAATAGGCCATATAAAGAGTGGAATCAGATAAGGATTCGACAAGAAACTGTTCATCCCAGGGAATACGCGTTCCAAGACCAAAAGACCGTGAGCAAGCCCACTGATTGAGCCAGCTCAAAGTGTGCTCAAAGCCATGCCTTGTTTCTTCAGAGTAAAGATTCATCTTCGATAAGCATTCCTCAGCCATTTGACGCCATTCTGATTCGCCGTATGTTAAGTACCACTGATCTGTAAGAGCCACAACACATTCATCACCCGATCTTGACATCACCGGCTTCTCGGGTTCACTGTATAGAATTGCCTCGCCAGACTCTATGAGCTTTGACTTGATAATAGGCTTGATTTCTTGGACTTTTCTACCAACAAACTCTCCAATAAGCATGGTTCCTTCGGTGAAACCTTTCAGGTACGTCAACCTCTTTGCCTCTGCAAGCTTGTCCTTATCGTTCTGACTTTTAATTTTCAAATCCACGCAGACCTTCTCGGCAGCCTTATCCCCAAACTCCGGAATGTTAATAATCGGTACAATCTCAGAGGGCACCCACTCATCTTTCACACCATACTTTGCTCGGAGGGCAGGCTTTGCAGTCAAGTCCTGCAAAGCCATATAATCATCAGGGGCATCACTAGGCACGCTGGTAACAATACCAGTACCTTTGTTTGTCAGAATGGTTAACATGGGCAGCGTGTAGATGATCTCGTTCACAGCCAGAGGAGACCTCAAAGGGAGTCCAATCAAATCATACCCGGTCAACTCAACCAAGCAGGAAGGCTTCTGAGCAATCTTCGAGAAATTCTGATAAGCAAGGTTGAGCGCAGCTCTCTCAGTCAGAATGAATACATCAGTTTCACTAATTTCATAAGCTCCATACTTCCCATCAGGCAACACCCACGCGTTCGTCTGTCCATACATAGTCTCAGGCCTCAAAGTAGCTGCAGCCAAAAACACTCTCTTTCCTTCCAAAGGACCCAGCTTCAAAGGAAAAGGCTGCACAACTTCCATCTTAATAAGCGTATACTCTTGAGGCTGAACACCTTCACCAGTAGCACGGTCATGGTCAGCACAAGGCTGGCCATCTAAAGGTGAGTAAATCGTGTACCTACGGTCTTTCACAATCTTCCCCATAGATTTCAACTTCCTCATCTGCCACCTCACAAAGGCATCAAAGAACGGATTAACATCAGTGGTCACGAACGATCTTCTCCAGTCACAACCCAACCCATACGCTCTGAGATCTTCAATGGCCAATGGAGGAAAGAAGTATAACCACTCGTAAGGATCTTGAAACTTCGCTATCTCACTATCAGTGAGACCAAAACTACGCATAATCTCCCACTGGTAAACCTGTCCACCGGCTTTTGAAGCTACCTTTGACTTCTTCCCCTTGAACTGACCCGGTAAAGCTGGAGTATTATCACTCTCCTCCACAACTTCTTGAGCTTGTTTGGTATAGTCTTCAGCAGTGAACACAGGAGGGTTCCCAAACTGCTTAATCTCACGAGAGAGCTTATCAGCAGAAGCTTTAATAGGCATACCAGTGCAGTGGAATCCAAACGGAAGGAGCACATTAGCACCTCTCAGTCTATGATACGCAGCAGCGAAATCAACCTTGGAGAGTGAGAAGGCATGGCCGATATGTAGATAACCATTCATATAAGGGAAAGGGAACGTCGCGAAGAACTTCTCTCCTGTCTTTGGAGGATCCTTACGTGACTCAGCTAAGAAAACTCCCTCGTCTTCCCACCATTTGCGTACAGCTACCTCGATTTCGAGAAGACGATCACGCCTAACGAAGCTTTTTGAATCAGATGCCATTGTGTGATAGTTCCTGAACCCAAATATAATCATACAAAGATCAAACGATGTCTACAGAAATGAGAATTAGCTTTGAGGAAACGCAGCTCAGGCGAGAGGAGTACCTTAAGGATGAGATTGCAGGAATCGCGAGTCGCGTCCGCCGCGTAAGCAATGCGAGGTTTGAGAGAGATGGAGCCACAGCTTGGGAAAAGGATGATGAAGATATGAGTGATGTTGTCTAGGGTTTTTAAGCAAAGTAGAGTTAAAAGAATGAAACTCAATCCCAACCTGCAATTCAATCCTTTGACGTAACGGCCGTTAACGTCCAATTGTCTAACGGAGTCTCATCTTTCTGAACTGGTTCTTCACCATAACCGGTTGCGAGTCAACCGGATTAGTGTTCTTTGGGCCAACACACTACAAATGTGTCATATACAGGTGAATAAACCGGAGGGTTGAGTATTGGTTTGATGTAAACTGGTTTCATATGCAAACCGGTATAGAGAAAGTATAAATGTGTGTACGATGCAGTTAACAAGAATACACAATACATTTTCATCATCTGTAACAAACTTTTCCTTTCATCTCTTCTTGTTCAAAACTTTTAAGTTCTAATACTTGCCTTACCCATAGATGCATGATAATATATGGGTGAATCGCTGGATGGAACTGGTAACTACTAATCGCTTGGTTATGTATTGGTATAAAATTAGAATCACGGAACTGGATGAGACAACAATTACTTGCATTCGAATTTCACAATTTATATGGAATGATACTTAAAGAGATATTACTTGCATTTGTTTAGCTAGTGAAACACAACGCAAGCCATAAAAGGAAAACACATAGATATTGGCTACGAAGTGTGCTAGCCCTTTCACGAAGAAGAGCAACAAGGCTTCTTAGTGTTCGTTTCAGAAGAGGCAGCCACATCGATAGTTTGACCTTCCTTGACGTTAGCATCCCCACCTGCCTGATCTGAAGATATCGATTTCTTGCTGATGATCCTATAAATCTCCGAGAGAATCGTCTGAAAGGCCTTCTCCACGTTCAACGCCTCGAGAGCCGACGTCTCGATGAACGACAAACCTTCTTTCTCCGCGTAGCTCTGAGCATCCTCTGTTGCAACAGCTCTGAGATGCTTCAGATCTGTCTTGTTTCCGATCAACATGATGACGATGTTGGAATCCGCATGGTCTCTGAGCTCTTTCAACCACCGGGTCACATTCTCAAACGTTGTTGGTTTGGTGACGTCGTAGACCAAGAGAGCACCAAGCGCACCTCTGTAGTAGGCGCTGGTTATGGCTCTGTATCGCTCTTGCCCAGCCGTGTCCCATATCTGAGCTTTCACAGTCCTTCCTTCCACCTTAGAACAAAGGAGCATGGTATTGTCAAAAGGTTAATTCATAAAAATAAAAAAAAGAGTAAGCAGCAAAATGCATATAAAAAAAAGCTTATTATATACGCTGGATTTTATCTATTTGATATAAAAAAACAACACTGACTCATACTTTTTTTTTTTTTTTGAACACCACACTGACTCATACTTAAAGCAACAAACTTAACATTTCCATTGTTAACCTAAGTATAAGCTATGTTCAAGATCAAGAAAAGCTCTTAGATCTAACTTGCACAAAGGTTCTTAGATTCGAGGCAGTAGCATGCTAAAATAAACCAGACGAAATACTCAGGTTAAAGAAGTGAACTTCCACTTCCTAAATAAACACACACACCATGGCTGTTTTCAAGCATCCCACAAAACTACAAACACATCTACAAGTATATACACAAAGGCGGAGATCTATATATATACATATAAACATACACAAACGGATCGAGCCAAGAAAAGCACCCACACGAGTTTATAGTGATTTCAGATGCTTGATACCAGAAAATTGAAACTAAGACTAGATCAAGAAACACTTAGAGAGGAATAAGTGTGGATACTTGGAGAGTGCGAGTAGCGAATTCGACACCGATGGTGGATTTAGATTCTAAGCAGAACTCGTTGCGAGTGAATCTAGAGAGGAGATTTGACTTGCCGACACCGGAGTCTCCGATGAGAACCACTTTGAACAAGTAGTCGTACTCTTCTTCCGGTCTTCTCGCCATTGTTTAACCCTTTTTTCCCTAGGAGTGCGAGATTGGGATTTTCAAAATTGAAAATGGGAAAGAATAGAAGAAGACGAATAGAAGAAATTAATTATGTTTTTTTCGAGAAGAAAATGAAATACTGTGTGGTCTAAAGTACCCTTGAACTGCCGACTTAGGCCTCGATTGGTACAGCAGATGATAAAGCAGTAGCAGTATGCTGCAGAAGCAGTATGCTACAGAAGCTGTATGCTTTCATTAAAGTTTTTAATAAATTGATTGGTAGAGCATTAGCAGTATACGATTTTAAAATTATCATAATAGTTAGTAAAATAATATATTACTTTTAAAATAATATATATATAATAAATTAATAATATATAATTTTATTAAAAATAATGAATTTCATTATATAAGTATATTTTAAATTTTAATTTTTTTAAAAAAATATTAAATTATTTTGGATATAACATATTACTCATATATAAAATTACAGTTATAATTTAATTAATTATTATTGAATTATAATTATTATTAAATTAAATAATTAATTAATTAATTATATTTTATATATAAATTAATTATAATTTATATATAAATTATTATTATTTATTTATTGGTAGAGCACTAAATTACTCATATATAAAATTATCATAAAAGTTAATATATAATTTATTTATTAGTGTCTAAATAATATGTTTATATCAATAATATATAATTTATATTATGTTATATTAAAAATAATGAATGATATATGTAATTATATAAATTATATTATATTTTAAATGTGAAATGTTATTTTAAAAAAATAATTATAATTTTATTTTTATTTTTTTAAATATAAATTTATATTTAATTATAAAAATATTGTTTATATTTTTAAACAAAAATAAATTAATTATATATAAATATTGTTAAGTTTTATATTTTCTATATGCAAATGCTCTCCCAAAAGCTCTATATGAGAGCATTGAGCAAAGAGCATTTGGAGAGCATTTGCATATGGTAAATGCTTTTCTAAATGTTTCTTTGCCAAATGTTGATTGGATAATGGGAAAATTTCAATTTTACCACATTCATTGTACCACTTTTCATTTTTACCTTTGTTAGAAAGACATTTTCATAAATACTTAAGTCATCAGTGGCCAAATGACTAAACTAACCTTTTTTAATCTATTCGTCAAGCCTCGACTCATTCTTAAACAACACCATTCTACAACGCTCTCCTCCTCCTTCTTCCTCCATCTTCTCTCCGATTCATACGACTACTGTCACCGTTACCGGAATTCGCAAGAGATGCCTACTCAGGATGGTGACTTCATGCGTCTCCCACTCTCAGAGCTCCGTCCAAAACGGTGTCACCGACTCTGTATCTGTGAGAAACCCAGATTCGTCTTGGTCTTCCTAGCAAGGGACGCATGGCCACCGATACGCTAGATCTTCTCAAAGTGAGTGTTGTTATGAGAGTTTCTTGTGCTGTTTTTTTTATCTGAGTGTGCGAAAGCTTCTTTCTTTAGCAAAAAGTGGAGTTGAGGCATTGATTTTACAATCTCATTTTGCTTTACTTTCTCTTGAAGGATTGGCAATTGTCTGTTAAACAAGTCAATCCGCGGCAATACGTTGCTCAGATTCCTCAGGTACGTATTTGTGAAAGGGAGGCAACAAGAATGGCTTTTTTTGTTTTCTATTGTTTTGTGTCTGACAGCTACCGAACACTGAAGTTTGATTTTAACGGCCTAAAGACACTGTCAGAAAGTTACTCTCTGGAGACCTTGATTTAGGCATCGTTGGGCTTGACATTGTTAGTGAGTTTGGTCAGGTATATATCTTGATTAAGCATATACATGTTAAGATTCTAAGATACCTTACTTACTGCTGCTCATTGTTATACTCATATTCCATGGTGGAGATCACAAGTCTGAGATCTTCTGTGATTTACCTTTGGCATTGTGAAGCTTGTACTAGTTTGAGTTAGATTATAGTCTCAAAGCCACTTTTGCATCATAACTGAGTTGTTTTGAGTTTTGTTTCCAGGGAAATGATGATCTTATTATTGTTCATGAAGCTCTCAACTTCGGAGACTGTCATCTCTCTCCTGCGGTATGTTCTAGACTAAAGTAGTTGTGGCATTATCACCCCTATGGATTGACTTCTTGAGAGCACTTTTCTTATGATTTCAGCTACCAAATTATGGGATATTTGAGAATATTAATTCTCTCAAGGAGCTAGCACAAATGCCTCAGTGGACTGAGGAAAGACCTTTACGAGTTGCTAATAATCCAACTTAGAAACCCTTAAAATCAGTTGTGTATTTTTTGTTATACAGAAACTATGAATGGGATTACAGATGGATGGATTACCCTTCATAGTCAAGAGATCTAAAGCATCCTTATGATCAGTCTGTGTCTATAAATGCCACTCAGTGTTGCGTACTCTTATCCGTTGCTACTTCTCTCCAGCACATAGGTTAGTCTTCTCAAACTCAAATCAATAATGTTCCAAACTTGACATAGAATTAACTCTCTTGACATTGTGTCTGAATCTTTCTTTATTACAGTACTGGCCAAAAGTACATCTACACAGGATCCAACGACAATTCTGTCTACATATATGACTTGGTAGTGTAGCTCTTTATGGTTTATGTTACAGTTTAATAGCTGAATCCTTCTTGATCAATCTTGGAATCTATGTATATATGTTTGTAGGCTGTAATTGGCATCCGCATTATCCAACGCTTATTAGCTCTTCGTGGGATGGGGATCTTATGAAATCGAAGTTTCCTGGGAGCGTTGAGCCGCCAATCATGAGCAAAAAGAGGGTTCGAAGGAGACATTTCTAATACTGAGCAGTGTACCTCTACACATAACACATATATGGTCTCTGCAAGTTAATATATAAAATTAAGAAGATGATGATGAATGCTATAAACACAAGTGAGAATCATCAAATAAGGCTTTTAAGGTGAAAAGGCTATGTTATGGTGTATGTTGTTGTGATAAAAAAATATACTAGTCTCTTCTCCAACCATTTTTAAAAGGTTATTTATGTGTGTGTTTTCTATAGATATGCAAATTTGCCAAGTTGTACTCGTATATAGCACAGTTCTTTATAAAGTAGTTTATAAAAGTTTATAAAGTAGTTATCAAGAGTTAGTTTCCCTTATGCAGCTTCGCTTGTTTCATACATTCATCCATCCTCAGTCCATATCTCATTCAAGTGTTTAATAATCAACAAAACCAAAATCCTTATCACCTATGCCAAGAAATACATTATTTGGTTTGATCCGTCTTTCAATCTATATATGTATCTTGGATGGATTATTTGTGTTTGCAAGAAAAATCCATCTATAATGATTAGTAAATATATAATTAGTTTATAAACCCTTTTAAATCAGTTTATAAAATCTTATAAATCAAACATATAGACTATTGTAAATAACATATGTGGTTAATCAGAATGCTCTCTAAATTATTTCAATAAATTTTTCATAAATTAAAAAATACCTTTTATGAACCATTTATAATTTTTATAAAGTTATCTATAAAGTTTATAAACACTTATAATTATTTCTAAAACTACTTATAAGAGTTTATAAATCATTTATAAGAATTTATAAATTTTATAAGGGTTTATAAATATGTTTATAAGGGTTTATAAAAATATTATAAGAATTTAATAATCTTCATAACACAATTTATAAGAGTTTATAAATCATTTTGTAAGAGTTTATATAATCGTTTTAAGAGTTGTACGAGTTTATATAAGGACGTACAAAACCATTCAATTAGTTAAAAATGATTAAAAGAGTTATAAATTATTATTATTTTTCTATAAAGCTTTATAATTATAAAAATTATTTTAAAGTCTTTGTAAGTTAAGATTAGGATTCATAAAGGTTATATAAGGGTTTGTTAAATTTTTATAAGGTTTATGAAGTCATTTGTAAGAGTTAATCTAGGAAAGTTTATAAATCAAATAATAAGGTAAAATGAATTTATAAAGATTTATAAATCAATTTATAAGGATTTATAAAGTTTATAAGGGTTTATACACATGATTAGAAAGGATTATAAAAATATTTATAAGAGTATGTAAATTATTTATAATGGTTTATAAAACCATTTACAAGAGTTTTATCATTAATAGGTAGTAATGATCACTTGGTTGCATTTACCAGTCCTCGGCCCTTCGATAGCTTTTGAATTTATCAGCCTTTTACTCGCCAATGTTTCTCCAAACTTTCTACATTCCACAACAAGACTATCTATAAAACTTTTATAAATCATTTTATAACACAGAACAAAAGTCAGTTTATTCTACTTCAGTTTATAAACATTTATAAATTAGTTTATAGAAACTTATAAACCCATTTATAAATCATTATAAATCCATCTTTCATTCTATTTGTATATTCTTTTATAGGGGATTATAACATTATTTATATGAACTTTGCCACAGCCTGAGCTATTTTCTTCACATTTCTTGTTTAAAAAGTCATTTATAAGTGTTTATAAACAAATTATAAGGGTTTATAAAACATTTATAAAGTATCTAATATTATAAGAGTTAATATCTATTTGATAGCTCAAAAAATTGATCAACAGTCTGCATCAAAGATTATCCAAAACATTAATTAGACAGCTTCATTCAAGCCCTCTAAGCTTTCTCATGCAGAATATTTTCAGACCAAGTATAAATCGAACAAGTATAAGGTCGCAGCAAACTGAATACAATCATGTGACTTCAATTAATGTTTTGGAAATAAGGTTATGTCTCATTTAACTATAATGTAAACAAATATCTTGCTGAGAAAAAGAATAAAATAAACACCAATTGTGTGGTTTGAAGACCCGTATGCGATGGCGTTTTGAAACTGATGTCAAGGCGGACACATTTTGCATTTGCTAAGTTTCCAGTCTTTGTCGACAAAGCGTTTCCTGCTGCAGAGTCTTCAAATCCAGCCATATCAGTGTTACTATTGCTGTCTTGGTCAACGGTGATACAGTCTGGGCCATCTTTTGGAATGCAGATTTTACATTCCAAAATCTGCATCTTCAGGCACAGAGATATCAACGGTAGGCCTGAGCTGTGCACAAACCTCGATAGCACCATGGACTGGATCAGCAAAGAAGTTGCTGATCAAGTCTTTGTTGATTGGTGCACCATTGTCCACAGCCACCAAAGCTTGTTGGGTCAGGTTGTAGTCGAACCTCGGTGCCCATTTCCTTGATCCCAATTTCGCTGTGGTCGAGCAGTTGTCCACCATGAAGGATACTCCTCTAGCATGCATAAACGGGTTTAGAGAATCAACAGACTCAATCACACTCTCGTTGATGATCTCTGAGTACGAGTGACCCTTCTTCCTCAAGATCTCAATCTACATAAAGATCAGAAAACCAAGATTAGATTCCAAAATATCAATAGAAACTGAGGATAATAAGGCATAACCAAACCAAATGTAAACAAAAGGACATACATACCTGAGCCATCATAAGGGCAACGTAAACTCCAGCAGTGAAGGGATATAACGGACCTAAGTCACCAGCTGGTCTTGACTTCCTGACACGTTCACCAACCTTCCACATTCTTGTCTGATCAATCTTTCCCATTGGGAATGCAGGCAAGCCTTCCTTGTCATGTTACAAGCAAGATAGCTTCATCAAAACCGTGTTTGTGTAAATGTAAGAAAATAAAGGTTTGAGAGAGGAGTTATTACATAGAAGCGACGACCAGCTAAGACAACACTCCTGATCTCACTACCAGCAGCTACATCCTCGTAACATTCATATAGAATCTCCATACAAGGATAGAAGGATGCACTGTATGCAGTCTCGAAATCCTTTTTGCCTTCTTCAGACAAAGAGTTGTAGACAGCCAACATTCCCTGAGTAGAGATGGTCCTCGAGATTGTTCTTGTGATGCATTCTACTGTGTTCTTGTAAGCCAGCTCTTCACTCATTCCGTTCTCGGTGTACCTTCTGAACAGAGACTCAACGATTCCATGAACGGCACCAAGCAAAATACCTATTTAACAAATAAAAAAAACAATCAGAAAAACCATGAATAAAACCAATCAGACAAACAAACAGCTTGGAAAGTGAGAAGCGAGCATTCAAAGAGGTTAACAACCCAAAGCAGAGGAGTTGATTTAGATACCAAAGCCAACGCATTATCTGTCAAACAAAACGTTCCTTGTAAAGATAGCCTAGTCAATGAAGGGAAACCACAGGGAGAGAGTTTCAAGAACTCAGTTATAGCGTTCTCCGTCATAGCTCATCCGCAAAGATCAAGATTCAACACCTAAGAGCATCAAAAATCAAAACCAATAGCTACAACAAAAGAGTTTAAAGAACTCAAGATTCAAAAAACTACCTCTAAGCTAGCTCTGTCACATTTAGATAGTATCTTAGTCAAGTCTTCTTCCTCTAAGTCAACACAATTCTTCACAAAAACCTCACAACGAGAATCATCAACAAGAAGCTTCACAAAACCTTTGTCTACTCTACTTAAATCACTAACAAGACTCATGATCTTCTTCTTCAAGTGATCAGGGACAAGATACAAAGACTTAATGGCTCCAGAGTTTTCAGCAAGAGCTCTCACACACAGCTCCGTTAACAGAGGAGCCGTCTTTTTCGTCGTCATCATATTCAACTCAATTGATGTACTATCAATAACACTAGAACTCGATCTAGAGTATCTCCTCCTCTTCTTGATCGCCTTCTTCGCATCATCAAATCGAATCTTCCCTTTCTCCACCTCTTCTTCTTCTTCCTCATCGTCTTTGCTTTGTTTAAGAGTTTGTTCAGAATGCAATTCGAGAGCGTAAGCTTTCGCTACTTCGAAAACGTATTGTCTATGCATCTCAGCTCTCTCTTTAGCGAACCGTCTCCTCTTCTTCGCGGATTCGTGAATTTTCTTCATCTCGAATCATCGTCGCCACATAGCAGAGATTTTAAAAGCTGCGTCATTGAATATTGGTAGGGTTTGATCAATAGGATCCTGTTCCAGGATAACAGGAGAATCGTCGAGGAGATTGGGTGATTCTTCTTCGGCGTCAGGGAGGATCTCTGGATCTTGTTCATGAGAAGAAGTCATCGAGTCGTCAAGTATTTTCGGCTTTTGCTTGCTGCAGAGAAGCGCTCCTATGGTCTATGATTAATTAAGGTTAATATTGTCTTTTGACTATCAAAATTTTGAGTGTAAAGTTGGTTAATGTAAAAATGAAATATGGTATCATCAAAGTGCTAGTTTTAGCAATTTCCCTTGGATAATAGAGAGCATAATGCTTATGCTAATGCTCTACCAATCAACCCCTTAGACTAGCCTTTTATTTGAAGAACGAGGCCTTGATTTACCAAGTTGGGCTTTAACAACAAAACCGACTCAAACCAGGGAAAATTGAATAATCTCCGTAAACCAAACCATTTAAAACCCTAATTAGTCTATCCCTTGAACACACTCTTTTATAGCTTTCTCTCCGCCTCATTTGCTCCCTCTCTCGCTTTGCTCTCACGGGAATATCTCCAGGTAAGATCCATCGATCAAACAATCACTTTTTTTCTTGCGGTTAGCTTATCTTCTTCTCTAATAATAACTGAGCTCAATCTTGGTGTTTTTCTCTGTACCAGATCCAATACAAGAGGTCGAAGTCGATTCCGTCTGAGCAATGGCTTTGGTGAGTTCTCTATGATTTTCTTTATGTGATACTCTTCGTTTCCCAGCTTACTCTTGACGATCGCATCTGTTACAACGATAAATGAGCATATGATAGTGAAGAACCAATCGTAAACTATAGTAATGTTATCCGATTCGGCTTATCTTTTAATGGATTTAGGTTTTTGAATGATTGTTTTGTATCCTGTATGATCGCATCTCTTATTCTTCGTGAAGAAGCGATCGTAAACAGTTGTAACCGTTCGATCTTTTTATGGATTTAGTTTTTGAATGATTGTTCAGTATCGTGTATAGATCGTGAAGAAGCAATCGTAAACAGTAGTAACCGTTCGATCTTTTGATTATCCAATTTGGATTATTCTTTTGATTTTGAATCATTGTTTTTTGTACACCAATTTGATCGAAATTATGTTTACAGCCGTTGATTACTAAAGTTAAGTTTTGGCGTGGTAAATGTTTTCAAGAACAAATTTGGCGGAGAAAATAATCCGTGTGCTCAATGTATCTCAGCAAAGATGCGTTTGGCTGATCATTTTTTATCTTTAATGGCTGTAGGTATTGCACACATACAAAGGGAACAAAGGTGCTGAGAAGGCACTCATTGCAGCAGAGTACACCGGTGTGCAGATCAATGTCCCCGACTTTGAGATGGGTGTCTCTAACAAAACCCCAGAGTTCCTCAAGATGAACCCTATTGGAAAGGTAAGGGAAAGGTTCTAATATCTTAACTGCTCGAATAGCTTTTGACTTGTTATTGAGTTTATTTTCCTCTGAACTCTAGGTTCCAGTGCTTGAGACTCCGGAAGGTCCCATCTTTGAGAGCAACGCCATTGCCCGCTATGGTAAAATAAATTTCAATTTATTTGTGTGGTTTAATTGCTCGTTAGCAATTGTGCGTAATGTAAGTTTTGATATCCTATTGTAGTGAGCCGATTGAACGGTGAGAACTCCTTGAACGGATCTTCCCTGATCGAATACGTAAGTTCCTGCTTCCACCCAGGGCTTCTCTTTTCTTGTCTGTTTGCGCCAGTTCTTTTATTTGTTCATGTTCACGACGTTAATCTGCATCCTGCTACTCTGCAGGCACAAATTGAGCAATGGATCGATTTCTCCACATTGGAGATTTTCGGAAGCGTCTTCATGTGGTTCGGTGCAAGAATAGGCTACATGCCATATAGTGTTCCGGTAAGCTTTTCTACCTTCCATTGGTTGGCTTCATACAGGCTTTTTGAACATTATCTGGATACTCTCTTCAATCTGCGAATAAGACACCTGTTTTTTTCTCATACCTTTTTGTTTTATAAATGAAGAGTGAGGAAGCTGCTATCTCTGCGTTGAAAAGAGCACTTGATGCTCTGAACACCCATCTCGCTTCCAACACATACCTTGTTGGACACTCTATTACCTTGGCTGATATCATCACTGTTTGCAACTTAAGCCTGGGATTTACCACTATCATGACCAAAGACTTCACCTCTGCATTCCCTCATGTTGAGAGATACTTCTGGACCGTGATTAACCAGCCAAACTTCAAGAAGGTGGTGGGTGATGTCAAACAGACTGAAGCTGTCCCTCCTGTTACTTCCAAGAAAGCTGCTCAGCCTGCAAAAGCCAAGGAGGAGCCTAAGAAAAAGGCTGCCCCTGCAGCAGAGGCACCTAAGCCAGTTGAAGAGGAAGAGGCACCAAAGCCCAAGGCAAAGAACCCTCTTGACTTGTTACCCCCAAGCCCAATGGTTCTCGATGAGTGGAAGAGGCTTTACTCAAACACCAAGTCTAACTTCCGTGAGGTTGCTATTAAAGGTATTCGGTGATATCTTCTCTTTCTCCTTTCCTAGTTTTCTTCAGGGGATACAGTATTGTTTTGCTATGAAATCTGTTATCAGTATGAGCTCATCTCCATGTTTGATGTAATGCAGGATTCTGGGACATGTATGACCCAGAGGGATACTCACTGTGGTTCTGTGACTACAAGTACAATGACGAGAACACGGTGTCCTTTGTCACCCTCAACAAGGTTGGTGGATTCCTGCAGAGAATGGACTTGGCACGCAAGTACGCTTTTGGAAAGATGCTGATTATCGGATCAGAGGGTCCCTTCAAGGTGAAAGGTTTGTGGCTGTTCCGTGGACCAGAGATCCCCAAGTTCATAATGGATGAGGTGTACGACATGGAGCTGTACGAGTGGACCAAGGTTGACATCTCCGATGAAGCCCAGAAGGAGCGTGTTAGCCAGATGATCGAAGACGCAGAGCCGTTTGAAGGTGAAGCTCTCTTGGACGCCAAGTGCTTCAAGTGAGAAAAGATAATTGTGGTTTGGTTTTGATACCCACTCCCATATGAGTTTTCCTCGGTGACTTGTGTTTTGATAATACTATGAGTCGCTTAGTATGTTTTTTCTAATCGTGTTTTAAGGACAAGTCTGTGGTTTAAGTAATACTTCTATCTTTTACCCTTTTTTTGTTTCATTACGATAATACAGTTTTTCAAAGTTATTACAATGATTGTGGAACGTCTGGTTTATTTGGTAGCTTTGGAATTGTGTTATGCTTTTTGTTGAGATTGTGAAGGGTGAAGGTATTGTTATGAGTCCTATAGAGGCCGTTTTGGCTACTTGTTTGGCGGCTGTGGCGTCTTTGATTAGGTCGCCGATTCCGTTCGGCTAATAGTCTAACACTTGAAGATATTGTAATCGTAAAGTGTACATTTCTTAATGTAAAAAATTACAAAATACATAAAGTTGAAAAATTAATCAATTAAGTAAAACAAAAATACAATGTTTTATTATCTTGTTGGGTGGGTCTGAAATAAATTATCGAAATAAAGATCTGGGGGACTCTTAATTGTTCTCTTTTTTTTCTATTTTCTCAAACGTCTAAAAACTGATCTTACCGCAGCGAAAGATCGATACCTCCTTGCGTACAAGCGAACTCTTATCGAAAGGGAGATAGAGAAGCCGAGGGACGTTGGTTTTCATGTATAGAGAGATGGAGGAGAGCTCATGGCGGCGTCTGGCCTTCTTAGCTTCGATTTCTCTGCACTTCGTCTTAGGTTCGTGTTTCTCCAGATCTATCTGATTCTAGGCATTAGATTCCCAATTTTTCTTTGTCAGTATTCTGTAGAATGATCGGATTCGTTTGGGATTTTAGGTTTTGAATTCGCCAGATTTATGTCTAATTCAGATGAACTTGGCTCTTTCCAGATTCCGTATGTTTAAAATCTCTATTCATGAGGTTATATCTTGGTCTTTCGGGATCAGGATTCAAACTTGTAGATAGAAAGACTGTGTGTATATATCTGTTAGTAGATCTTGAGCAACTTCTTCGCCACACATATACTAAAATCTGTTATTCACATGTTAATGTTAGTTTGGTTCATGGGGTTTTGTATGGCTATAGTTTTGATGGGTCGATGATTTGAATAGCTCGTCTGCAAAACCTGTTTTCTTCTCGAATTTACTTTTTTTCTTGCTACTACCATCATGGTATCATCAGTAGTTTCATGCTTATGCGATAAAATGACTGCAACATTTTTTGTTGTCCACAGAGTTCTTAGACATTTACAGTTTTGCATAAGTTACTTCTATAAATGGCCACCACCCACCATTTTCCTTAAATTAAGTAAAGCAAATTCTGTTTAGTTATCGTTGCAATTGATGTTCTTCTCTGTGGTTGTTTCTCCCAAGGATAAGCTAACATGTATACTTTTTGAGGATAGGCTAAAGAGTAGCTACGACTGTTCTTGAAAGCTCTTGAAAGCACGAACCTTGACTTTTTCTTCCATGCGATGAACTTAGAAGGCATCTAACTAAGTCTTTTTGATATGATATTTTTCCAGGTCTATCAGGTGATTCCAAGAATACAAATGCAGGAGTTAAGGCAGAGTCGCACGCTTCTTCCAGCGGAACTGGCACAAAAGTATTCCTCATACTGCTTGGATTTGTGGCTGTAGGTGCGTTCTCCTTCTTCCTATACAAGCTATGGCAGAAGAAGAAAAGAGACGAGCAGTATGCTCGATTGTTGAAGCTTTTTGAGGAAGATGATGAACTCGAGGTTGAGTTAGGCCTTCGAGATTAAAAAAATACAAGCTGTCAACAAAATGCCTGAGGTATATTTGTTTGTGTTGGCTTGTTTTTGGAATGTAAGATAAATTATAGGTATTAAGAAGGATCAGAACATGTCTTTGGTCAAAGTTAACATTCAAGTGATTTTATGTTTGTTATTGACATGCTTTATCTTCGTGAAATATATAATAATGCACACGACATTTAATTATACTATATACTTTGATAAGTAAATGATGTAGCTGTGGAATGATTCAAAGGAAAGAAAGAAGTTACATGATTGTTGTTAAAAAAAAAAAAAGTTACATGATTCAAAACGAGATAACCATTTCATAAACAACATTATTAAGCTTATTACCCACTGGTTAATGGTAATCTCTACTAGCCAACAAAACTTTCAAAAATAAAGAATAAACTTAATGACCACAAAAGAATTAGTTGAAGTGTTTCATCAAACGTTAGAACATTATCACATTATCACATTATCACCTTGCAGATACATAAGCAATGCCATAGAGAGCCTTTGCCTCAGTCCACACGACCATGCCATGGTTTCTCTGTCCGAAGCAGAGATGGGTAGATAATCTTTATTGTCCAGTCTTGGCACGCTTGCTGTTGAAAGGGGACATGCTTGGACTCAGACAAGGGCTCAAGCTCGGACTTGGACTCTTTTCCCTTAACGTACCATTCAGAGCCGCTAACTCTTTCAGCTGTTCCCTCTTGTAGTGGTCCACTGATTCGTCCTGTAGAGAGAGAAAAACAAATCATGTGAACAAAAAGGTTTGGAGTACAGAACCAGATAGATATGTTTAGATTTTTTGTCAAAAAGAAGGTACCATTGGCTTTAGGAGCGACTCCAGGAAATGCACGGCATGCTCCAGTTGAGAGTTTATTATGTCCTCTGGAAGCTCGGCTTCGATCAGTAGATGTAGTGGCTCGCTTAGATGCTCGTAACCTGGTTTACCTTTGAGATTCTCCTCCTGCAGAGAAGCATAAATACTAAATAGATGAGCCCTCCACCGCATGAGAAGAAAGAACTTAAAAACAAATTTCAGATTATCAGTCATAAGTTTTCCCTGTACACTACTATGATGATACTATTCAAAAGAGACGTGAAAAGATGATAAAGCTCAAACAAAAAATATTTTCTATTCAGATTCTCACTCGGAAGCTTTCAACTTTCAAATGTATTCTAAAGTGAAAAGGAGTGTAACCTTGTACACCACCAAGAGAAACATATTATTTTTACAGTGAATCATATTCGATAAGAAGTGAAGATTTGAACTATAAGAAGTCATCTACACTTGTATTTGAAACAGAGATGAAATGGGACACTTTAAAGAAAGAACCATACCTTGACAGTATCCTTGACAGATCCTCGTCCTCTAATAAACACCCTACAATGTGTTGCAAGCTCAACTCTTTTTAGTGAGTTCCCACGTGGACCAAGAATACGCCCAACAAAATTATACTGCAAGGTTCAATTAAATCAAGATAATTTCTATCATAATACTATATCAAAATGTTTAGGAGCTTACGCTTGGGAATTTATCAACAGGCACATCAAGTCTGATACATTTTTTCACAATGTGTGGAGTGTTGAGTCCTGGCATCCCAGCCCAGCCTACCGGAGCAGGAGAACGAAATGGGGAAGCTCTCTGGAGATGGAAATTCTCCTTAAGAAAAACAAGCAATCATTATCAACACAACACCATCATAATTTAACTACTAGAGTCTGGTCTGATATCTGACTTCAACAATTTTAATCTGGCTTTACCTCTGCTTGCATCATTGACCATCCATCAAAATCAAGCTTTCCATTTGTGGGCGGCAGACCAGGAGATCTAAATGGACTGCCATTCTCATATCTATCAACCTCGGAAAAACTGGAGACCCTCCTAATTTCTGCACAAACACGACCAATGTAAGCAATAAAGAAAAATGTTACAACTTACAAGAGAAAAAATAAACACTTGACCAATGATAAGAGACAGCATCACACCTTGATTAAGTAGTCTGCAGCAATGTGGCATAAGGTGTGAAAAAGGAGCCAACTTTTGTCTCTCTTGCAACAACTCAGCCAAGTACCTGAATAATATTATACAGAAATGTGAATGTGAGTCCAATGGATGTGTAGAAGCTATTGAGTGGTTACACATTGGAATCAATCTGATTTGATCCAAAAGAGATTCACACATTAACGAAAAAACCTTAGGAAGAAGAGAAAGAGAGTGTGGAAGTACCTCTCACGATCAGAGGGAGGACAAGGGGATGGATTGGGAGAAGCACGGAACCCGGGAAGAGGAAACTGGAAGAAGCTTCCAGGAACGATCCTCTCCTCCATCGCCACGTAACCAGCGCCGGATTCCATCATATCTACCCACTCTCTCTGTACATCCACCAGATTGTTTCAGAACCGTACACAAATGAAGTAAAGGTGAAAGAAGAGACTTACCGGTGCTAGTGAGGAGAAGATGCGGCGGAGGATCTGGCACCGATCTCAAGAGAAGTAGGTGTGGACTGTGTAGAGTGGCCACAAGCATGAGAAGACTCAAAAGCCCTACGCACAAAATGAGTGTGCTGCCTCGCCGCTTTTTTTTTTCTCTTTCCTTTTTTTGATTTTCTTTCCTTTTCTGTTATTTTTCTCTATAGGCTTGCTATAGGTCCTTGGGTTCTGAGTCTTTTGACATGTTTGGGCCGTTGGTCTCTACTAATAGGCCTTATTAACTGAACGATGGATTACATGAATGAATCTAACAAGTAGTTCTCAGACCCAACATTAAGAATATTAGCATAGTACTTGTCCTGTTTCTCCGGCAGTTCCGATTTACTTCAGCATTGATAAGAACACACACAACAGCATTAATATTCTACATCCAAATTTTAAATACTAACTACTGAAAACATTATTAGCAGAATTCCAGATCGCACATTCTTTGACAAATACATACATTGAGGTCATAAGCGGTGGCATAAGCCGAGTACTTGATATACTTAGTACTGGCTTGGCTTGTACAAGTAGTTAAATTTTAGATTTGTATTTAGTTTGATGAAAACAAGTACTTACGATTTTAAATACTTGCTAAAAATTGACAGACTTGCAAGTTACTTGTCTTGTTTTATTACTTGTTACTTGTACGTTACTTGCAAGTTACTTGATAATTATTGGTAAATTATTTCATAATTCGTTGGAATTTAAAGGTAAATAACTATCATATATAAATACTATGTCATTGCTTTCATGTATTTTAGTCAAATCTAAAAATAGAATATATAAGAAAAAGAAAATTTCAAAATATTTATATAATATATCATTTATGTTTGATTCACTTCCGAAAATAGAAATATAAATGAATTGTTTTACTATGATTTAGGAAAATGTAAATTTGTTCATCAACAAAAATGAATAACAAATCCAAAAATGCTAAATAGTTAATTTTATTTTAATATTTAATATTTTTTGTATTTACAAGTAATTTAAATAGATTAACTGATTCAATTTGTTCAGAATAAGTACCAATCAAGTAGCAAATAAAAGGTAAGTAAAAATAATTGTGGCCACTTATAAATTTTAATACATAAATTTTAATTAATTAATGTAATAGATATCGAGTATTTACTAAACCAAATAAGAGATAACTAAACGATAACAAGTAATGAGTCAAGTAACAAGTAAAATAGTTAAAAATAAAAATATATTTGACACTTAATTTGTACTTGTAAGTAATAAAATTTATTTACTTGTTATTTGATTTGATTATATTAAGTAGTTGGTTTTTAAAACCGAGCCTAGTAAAGTAAATAAGAAAGCAGGGTCGCAGACTCTGTCATTAGCAGGATTTGACAGTTGTAGCTATATTACTGTAAATTTACATATTATGACCTTATTTTTTATGTTTCTAGCAAATTAGGACCTAATTCTACAAAAAGATTCGAAGCAGATAAAGATGCTCTGTTGATTTACCACCGTGGGACACACCAAGAGCCGGCAATATATAAAAAATATATATAAGATAGGACTAGAAAAATTCAAATAATATATACTAGCATTGTAGGCAACACTCCAGTATAACCAACCTATTCTTCTACTTTGTCAAAAAAACCTTGTAGGGTCTTAAAAAGAAATATTTTGTTGTAGTGCATGACAACAGGGCAGTACTGACTTTTACTTCTTTTTTTTGGGCAGTATTTTTCATGTCCCTATTTTTTTTCATCTCCAAATTCCATATGATTTAAAAATAAAGGAACTGAAAATAATTTTTTGAAATTTGTTAATAATGACACGTCTGTTTATATTTTGGTTGAATGGAAATATTAAAGAAACACTTCTAAATCTTTTGATAAACTTTTAATATTTTTAATTCGTATTCGAATCGGTATATTGGAAAACATACATTTCAAACACACTCATGGTACAAAAATTAGAAAAGTTACCTTAAAATTAAAGTAAATACTATTTACCAAAAATCAATATCTTGGAAAACATATTAATTCTACAACTAAACTTTGTCACAGATTTTTACTTTTATGATTTATTTTTGTTTAGGAAATGAAAGATTCTAATCTTGTATGTTAGCTAAATATTAGATAATCTAGTATAGCAATATAACTTTTTAAGGAAATAATATTTATTATGTACTCATTAATTAAAATTATTTATAGTTTAGAGTTAAAAAAGTGGTATTTACTTGTAATTCTTTAGAAAAAATTAGGGTTATTTCAAATTTGTATTCAGTTTTAATAGATTAGATAGCTCAATATTTTTTTTAAAATACAGATCTCTTTTGATACATTGATATTTTCAAGTCATATTTCTAAAGGTTAGTTTTATATAGATAACAATCATTGCCTGAGATCCAGAATTTGTACTTTGTCAAAAAAACCTTGTAGGGTCTTAAGAAGTTTGTTGTGCATGATAGACAACACCGCAAAATTATATTTTGTTGTGCATAACAACACGGCAGTACTGACTTTTATTTGTGTACCGAATACATGAAAAGGATAATGATTTTGAGATTTTTTTTTTAATAGAAAATACATGACAACAGGGCAGGACTGACTTTTACTTGTGTACCTTGTGGCGGAGTCGAATAACTCGAATGTCCACGACATGTTAATCTTCCACATTAACTTTAAAATACATGTTAATCTTCCACATTAACTTTAAAATAAATATTTTGTTGTATCTAAAACATGACATTGTAACCATTGACCTTACAATGGCCACACACGATTGATTTTTATATATCCAAAATATTAACTTAAACCTTATGTACAACTTCCAAGGAGGCTATAAATAACCTGCAGTAGTGCAGTTGAGTGAACAAACAAACCTATTCTTCATTGCTCATATTCAAACTTAACCAACATGAAAAAGAGCAATAGCAAGATCCCAGCAAAGGATACCTTATCTGGACCCCTCTACATCCATAACGATAACCAAGTGTTCATCAACTTCCGGGGAGAGGAGCTACGCTGCAGCTTCGTGAGCCACCTTGTTGACGCATTTAAAAGACATAGAATCAACTTCTTCATAGACAACGATGAACAGAAGGGGAAAGAACGGAAACATCTCTTTGCAAGGATCAAACAGTCGAGGATAGCTCTGACTATATTCTCAAAAAGGTACACAGAGTCACGCTGGTGCCTTAACGAGCTAGCAAAAATAAAGAAAAGAGCAGATAAACGCAAACTACAAGTGATCCCCATCTTCTTCAAGGTGAAGGCGGCCTCAGTGAGATACCAAAGGGCTGAGTTCGGCCGCAACTTCTGGAGGTTAGCTAAGAGTTCAAGTGGGGAACAGATCAAGAAATGGAAGGAAGCTTTGGAGTCTGCTTCTGACAAGATGGGCTTGTCGTTAGGCGACAACAGGTACATTACTGATCTTCTGCGACACTTTTCAGGTTTCTTAGTTTCTGTTACAAGTCATGCCCCTCTGAACCAGTTACCTTCCCATGACAAGAAAAAGTAAACATGGTTGTTATAACAGAACAAACAGACTGGTCCATCATCTGAATGTAGCATTCCAGTTGATGATTCTGCCTCCTCTTTCACCTTTGTAATATCATTTCCTTCTGTGAAACTCTGTAGACTAAACAAATTTATTTACTTTGCAGCTCCGAGGCGGATTTCATAAAGGAAATCGTTAAAGAGGTTAAAAGAATTGTCGAGGTTAAGAAAATGGAAGACCATTCCTTTACTCTTCCCCATAATAACAGAAGAGATTTAACCAACAGGATCAAAATCCAACCAAAATAATTTATAATGAATAAGTTTTATTTTTTTTCTGTTTCCATATACGGTGTGTTTCTATAGGGCTTTTGTGTTGATATTGGTTTACTGCATTTCAGTAAATGATCATATACTTTGTTACTGTAATAAAACATTTTATCAAGGAATAAAACTATTTGAATGTGAATGTGAATGTTTCCAAATCCTACCCAAAAGACAACAATAAGATAAGTATAGTCTCTTTTTTTTTGTCACTTATGAATTCAAACTCAAGGGTTCCAACTTCCAAGTCCAGAGACTTGTGAAATAGAGTACAACACCAAAATAAATTGCTACCAGTACGTGCAATAACAATACTCAAACACAAGTAAAGGAAAGGGAGAGATTCTTGATACATGGGAATCCCATCACGAGGATAAGGATCATGAAGATGCAAGTGGAGTTTGTAGATGTCAATAGTCTTCCGTGACTAACTCGGCGACGAAGTTACTGATGCTGGAGGCATTAGTCGTTACTAAATAAGGCATGCGGAGTGGTGGGTTACCATGTGGATGCAAGATATGCTGAGATGAAGAATGATAAACTAGAGGTTTATGTCTTGACGTAGTCGTTGAAGTAGTTGCTGATGCAACGTGTGTCAGAGAGTAAACCAGGAGGCATGCAGAGTGGTAGAGACCATGTGGATGCAAGATGATGAGCTGGCGTGGGATAAACTTGAGGAGCAAGTTTATACCATGGAGAAAAGGCAAGAGATAAACTTGGAGAGCAAGTTTATGCCTTGAGGAATAAGTACAAATCCAAGAAAAGGAAAGTGTACTTATTAATATGGAAGTTGTCCATATATCCATGCCTTGGATACTAGGGTTTCAGGAACGTGGAGATCACGTTAAAAAGAGTTATGGGGTCGTGTGTATTCCATAAGACACTTGGGGCTTTTATTATAGAGGAATGGTGAAAATCCCTTAGGGTGTTCTTGGGTAGTGCTGAAGCATACGACGATGGAAATACAAGTTTGGGTAGATTAGGAATCTTTCAGTAGCAGCTGTTAGGGTGTTAATAGGCTGTGTAAAGCTGATAAGCAAGTCTTGTAATACATTGTTTAAAGATGATTTCTAATAAAGCAAAGGTGTTGCTTATATCTATTTTGTCTCTTGATTTATCTTCTGCAGTACTATATTGTGGTGTCATCTTTGCACTTACACACACCACCTCCATCTAAGCCAAAGCCTCTTGTGAAATACGAGTAGCCAACCATGATGGAACTTTGCTTGCGACATACGGCTGGGATCTGTGATCCCTTGTTACGCTTTCTGCAATTTTCCGGACCACAAAATTGCATTCCGGTAGAAACCTGTTCCGCGTTTTCA